AAATAAGAGAATCGCTCCATCCTGACAGACGTTCAGTCGTAACGACTCAGGTGTAGGTCGACTACGAGTGCTGCCAATTGCAGCAGGGCTGTCATAGCTCTTTCGCTTAGAGGAAGCTAAGCTAAGGTCGATGACCTTATGTTCAAAACTAAGTCCAGTACGAGTGTAGTGAATTGTAATCCGCAACCTCCAAGAGTATCCACAACCTCAACCATGGCTTTAATTGCGGAAAAGCCGCCTATATCTTAATCTGTAGGTTTTTCTAATATATAGCAAAGCCAAATCAAAAATTACAACACTACTGGCAGTCAAGCCTTGCACTGAATTCTTGTAAAGGTGTGGCCACACCATTGTGTGATTCCACCGTCTTGTGTACCAACATTCTCGTATGGTCACACCATCTTGTGTGACCCACCCTTCATACCAGAGTACGTGTAACCCCATTACAGTGACCACCTCCATGGTACGTTCTTATGGAGCAATTTTGATGATATACGTACCATTTCCGTATAGTTGCGCGAGAAGCGTGCCGGAAATTGGACAAAACCCCTCAATTTTTTTTTAATTGCCACTCCACGATTGCTTTGGCCTCTCAGGGTCTTCATACACACTGTGTTCACCGACAAAATCACCAAGGACCGGTACTTCGTTAGCACCAAAAATACACTTTGCAAGAATTGCTTGCAATGAATGCTCACGTATACATTCTATCACCGCACGGAGGTGCTCCAAGTGCATTTCTTCGGCAGATATGCCATCTTTGTCCTTTGAGTGAGCGAAAATATCGTGGGAGTATGTATATGCAAAGCGTCGCAGTGGTCAAAACATATATGGGACCAATTGATTGAGCGTTTCTAGGGCACTGAATAGTTTCTATGGCATTACAAACCACTCTCAAAACAAATCTTACAGTGTACTAACAGCCGTTAACGGGACGTCATCTTCCCTCATTAAATTTGGTGATACCGTCTACCAAGGCCACCCAGGAAGTGTGTCGATAGATCAGGTGGTACTCGGAACTCGCCACATGAAACTAATGAAACGTTGGTAGGCGTGGCAATTTGACCAACGGAAAGAATTTATGAGGTAGAAATGCCGAATTATCTCCCCCCATGTGCAATAGAAAGTCGAAGTAATTGACTGTGGCTGGATATACCAATACCCCGACTGATACAGTGGTTGAGTCGGATTGTAGGTCAGTGGGTTCAACTGACCACAAAGAAGATGTTTTGACCTGTTTTGTGATTGAGCACACACATGTGATAAATTTAACGAAATTTGTTGATCGCGGAAATGACACCCCGTTCTTGTTGCGGTTGAGTCTGCAGGTAAGTTAGTTTAACGTACTACTCCCCATGATGAAAATATAGCATGCGAATATGCTAGTCCACGTAGTATAGATGCAACGACTGGTTGTGGAGTTATCAGAACAGATTCTTTTTTGGCACCGCGTCGATAGAAGAGCTGGCGCGGGCCGAAAAATTCACTTATGATGATTTCCAGCGTATAATCAAGTCTGATGACATTGCGGAGGTCGTGTTGCTACAGTCGAAGATCGACTCGGCGAAACAACGCTCATCATCAGTCCTGTATGATTTAGTTATCGGGAAATTTCGCCAGTGTGTGGATTCACGCTCAGGATCGACTGTGCTGAAAACTCTGACTGATCCTAATTATTCACTTTTGATGGAGTACAGGAATAACGTCTTTAGTGCGTAACCACCTTCTGGTCTTCCATCCGAACATGGATGTCGACTCGAAATCGATCGTGAACCTGGTTCAAAGCACGCAGTGCTTAGACAATAGCCACTGCTGTATAGAAAAAATTGAGAACATCGATGATTTCTTTGCTCATAAGCAAGCTGCTGGGTTTGTGTCCCCATACGACTCCGTATCTTCCTTACCTGGGAAAAAGAAATTGCATGACATGTGCCAATGAAATGTGGATCTTTTCCAGCAGCACACGACTGCCGAGCGCTTGAGCATTTTTTTGGGGCATAGTGAGAGTGGTTTTATTTTTACCAAGGGTTTCACTTGCGTCGGGAGAGCTACTCCCAATCGTTTTTGATCGCCAAATGATTAATTGCTCATGATTTTCAAGCTAACGATATATCTAAAATCGTATCATACGGCTCGTCCATCTCGAGGACTTACATTGAGTTGAAGTCTTCAAACTTCAGTTGAAGATGAATCATAATTTTCTTCGCGGTGGCCACCGCACCAGTGGCCAGATAACGTCATTGCTTCTATCTAGTGCATTCAGACTCTAGGAATCGTTTTCAGCCATACATTGCTTCTGCACGCAGTTACATGACGCGCTGGAGTCAATCAAGACTTTAAACAACGACCGTAGGCCTTCATACTCATTATGACTGCTCTGCATCTACTGGGCCCCGGGCATGCGTAAATTGACTTTAGCCAGAGTCGCTGCAGTTGGGAGTAGAAATCTCTACCCACTTTGCCAGATTTATCAAATTGTCAACGAGTCAAACTTTGTCGTGAGTTCCGCAGAGATAAGTAGGAATATTTTTCAGCTAAGGAACAGACACGGTGTGCAGCTCGAGCAGAGACATTTATCGAGCGTCTCATGGCATTGGTACCACGTAACTCGGGACCATTACGACGAGAGCCTTAGTGAAAGGCTCATCCCTCACGTGGACAATCACGGCGAATGGGAAAAAGTCATTGACATCCGTAACCGCGAACTTGCTGGACGGACAGTCACCGCCTAAGAACCATTGGTTTTGAAATTTCGTAGCAACAACACTGCCTCCGCTTACCACATGTTTGACGCTGACAGTAGTCCTAACGCAATGCAATCATAATTGCATCTTCCAGAGTCGTCGGGCTCTGGCGGACGACTTCGGTCCTAGGAGGACCAAAAGTGAGCCACTCCATAAACACGGTGATCTTCACTGCCCCTGATAGTGGTTCACTTGCCATACTGGCACGAAGCTCATGGGGCTGCTGTACATAGTCGTACAATGTTCTGTTGTCTTGGCGGCATGACCAAAACTTCGGCCGTTGTCGAAACGCCACATTCGGTAGAAGGAACACCGATTCCATGGTCTTTTTCAGATCTTGCAATGTGGCAAAGTAGCCAGAGCGATTGACTTTCATGTCATTGCCTAATCCTTCGCACGTCAACTCGAATGCGACATGGCAACGAGATAGCGATGTATATTTCTCGCTGCTAGAGCGCAAAATTTTCATCTTTTTCCCCATTAAAAACTTTATACCTTGATTTCACGCGACATTCCGTGTCTCACCACCACTTGTGGCAGAGGTAACGAATTCGGCGTCGGAATGTTCTGCAATAGAGATCTCAATAATCCTTGCTCGTACGCAGTAAAATTTGCTAAGCGTTAAGTTATTGTTATTTAATCCAATTGGACAATATCGGAGACCGCGTGATCTCCGATTAGATCTCAGCTTCGCCACACACTCCCATTGCGAGGGTATTAGGAACAAATATTTCTCCCTATTGATCTGAGGACGACCACCGACTGTGATGTCCCCATCATCGATGGATAGATCCGTCGACGTAGTCTGCGTTGGAATGACTACAAAAACTACCATGTGTAATGCGAATTGCCTGTTCGTGTACACACACTATATATAAGGACGCCTCATCGCGTGTTGCTTGCCTCCAGCGAGCCGTTGACTCACGTAGAGAGGAGAAAAGATGTAGTGAAATTTATTAGTTTAGCCAGTACGCTTTAACCTCTCTATCCTGAGAAGTGCTTTCAGTTCTGATACAACAGAACGGAAAGGAGACATACAACTATACAGGGTTTGCAGTGAATGTTCGAAACATATAGTATGTGGTCCACATAACATGTGTGATGGGACCTGGCCCATTACAAATAGCTCATAATTTTTTCACAGACCATGCTGTAGTTTCTCCATCGAACCGAAATGTCGGTCTTTTCAGTAATTTAAAAAACTATACACAGTTTTTCACTGTATTGACAAAAGCGACATTTTTTTCCACAAAATTGCAAGTTCCACAATCCTAAAAATATTAAAAGCAAGTTTATTGCTTCTCTTATCAGCTATAACTTATCATCGCGTAATTTTGTAATTTTTGCTGCTTGCAAATCTTATTAATTAATATTGTAATTTTTTGGCATTGATCCGAGTAAATGTTATAATGGGTGTAACTTTGCATACAAAATTCCAGCAGGTATACTCTCAACAGTACCCCTTAATCCTCAGAACCCAAAGAAGCGTGGTGCCATCAAATCTTTCGTCATGATGCCGGTCAGTTGAGCTTTTGACGGTACGCAACTAATTTAAATGTTTTTGCTCTCCATGCGATCCCGGAAAGTTTGCTCTGAGGTCGAATAGACTAAACGATGAAACGCGTTGGAACGATTTGCTTGGCACTCGAGTGGATGCGAGAAGTGTATGGCCATGGTTTATTGCAATGCTAATTGCCGAGATTTGTCAACCTGGATCATCGAGGGGTTATGCTGACTAATGCCAATCTCACCAAGTAGAAAGCAAAGCCACACAACTTTTCGAGTCGTCGGTGCCAATGAGATGTACTCAACTTCTGCTGATGAAAATGCGACTGTTTGTTGACGCTTGCTCTCAAAACAGACTGGAATTTCGGTGAGCTTGATCAAGACACTAGACGTTGGACGACGTGACGCCGTCTAATCACCCCATTTTGAGTCACTCTACGTCGCTATCCCTTGTGTCTTTCTCATAAACTTATACCAAACGCTGCTGTTCCCCTAATTACAGTAGAACACAGATCACAGCGTGCCAATGCATCTACCAAGGCTGGACAACTTATCGTGAGAGGATAAACGTTGCGACGTTGATGTCCGGTTGTGTAGCATTGGCTTCAATACAGCAAGATTCAATCACTTCACGGTACAACGTTGCGATCTCAATAACACGATGCTTGCCGTTTTGTTCGGGATCTTGGCTCACCTCAAGTGGGTTACGACCATACACGCTCCAACATGTGCAGAATTATTACATTTGCATCACCGATCCGTCCCTCTTGTTACGCAAATAGCTTCATCCGGAGACTTGACAGTGAACTGAGATGCCAAACCCGCGCGTACGACATTGACTCGTTTGACTGACTTGAGTTTGGCCAGCAAATCATCAAGGTCGAGTACAACCAATATTGGTGCTTGATCATTATCACCAACTCGGTCGTCGCGAGTAAAACGACACGGATCCATACGACTTTGGCTGAAATACATCCATTTGAACATACCACTGATGGTTTTGAATCATACAACTGCTGACCACTGGAGTTCTTACAGACTGCGACACAGTTTGACCATAGAACCGGCAGTAGTTCGAAAACCTTACGTTATGTCCATGTACACATCGTCCTTAAGTTTACCATTCATGAACGATGTCTCAGTGTCAAATTGGTGAATTATATAGTCGCGACGGGATTACTTGAACAGAAGCACATGGATTGTGTTGAAACATGAGACGATTGAGTTGGTTGTCGTGAAACCAAGACCGGATCTCTGGAGATCCCTACGGACAACTTGAGCCTTGCAAGTTCCTGGATACATCATACTTGTGAGCAAACACCTATTTGTGACCGATCACTCTAGTACATTCACAATATCCAACGAGTGATTGTGATTTAGTGTCTTGATTTCACTCCGAATCTTTCTTCCACTTGTCCGCATCTGTTAATGTCATCGCTTTTTCAGACGTTAGTGTCACTTCGCTTGCCTCTTTGTTATTCTCATGCATATCTACCCATGACCGCTTGTTCTCCGGCTCAAGAGGTTCACTTTCAGCCATAAAAACATCTGTGAGTCGAGGCACATTCACTGAAGTATGAATGCTGATGCAAGGCGCATCAGTGAGTAAATGACCGGTCCCAAATCTTGTCATGTTTGGCTGTGCTGACTCGTTACAGAGCACATGCCGATCTACACCCACAGTCAAAGACGACAATAAGGCTACTGGACCGTTTCAGCTGAGAAGATGAGTATGAACAGGAACGTAAAACGTGGAATTGCTTTCGTTTCCAAACTCGGAAAGACAGTAGCTTGGTCCCGTTATACAGACACCACAGTGTTGCGATTCAATTGTAGCGTGTTCAGAACTGAAGTGACAAGCACATCCCCAGACGAGGATGTATCGTGGCTCATATCTATATCCTCGTCATCATTGCCACCTCGGGCTTGAGACTTCTCAATACCCGATGACTCTGGATCCTGCGGACTTAGTGTGCTTGGATTGTCATCTACGCCACGTCGTCATAAGTCATTCTCCATTCCGTCGGTAATACTGAGCAGGGGGTCGCTTATCGAGAGCCACACTACGCGTCGTCAACAAGAGGTCATCATCATGGTCTCAGACACGAAGACTTAAATCCTCCAGTATTTTCAAGGAATTTTCAACAATGCGCCATAGCTTTCAATTTTGATCTTTAGTCGACGTGCACGGATCCTTCAAACCAACCAAACCTACGTGATCAAGAGCTTGCTTGAGTACTTAAATCCGACCTAGCGGGAATGGGAATGCGTATGAATACACGTGCAATCGCCATCGTCACACCTTTCCACCCTCTGAATCCATTTACATGTAGTAAATACATACATGCGTTGATACACTCGAAGCGCGATTCATTCGCTCTGCGATCCCGTTCTATTGTAAAGAGCAGGAAGTGGATGTTAGGTACACAATACTACGCTAGGCACAGATTTTGTTGAACGTCTTGCTGGTGAGCTTGCCACCGCTATCGGACCTGATGCATCTGACTCAAAGCCATACTGCGTCTCAACAAGAGCCTTGCATTGCAAAGCTTGAAATTTGACGCAAGCACTTAAAGAACACCGCAAAGTCGGTGAGTTCATCAATGAACGTGAAAGCAGATTTTTGACTTTGTCTTCATGGACTCATGAGACCACTATAGACAATATCAAAAGGCTTATACATTTTCACCTCGCTCCATCACGATATTAACACGAACTCATTGACATCTTTCCATCCACAGCGATCGTAAATGTCTCGTTTGTTCAAGCGCTGGAACACCATTTATCAGCTTGGACACCGAGTTGTTGTGATATGCGAGTGAGGCTTGCGTGTCGAAGCACATGTTTGGATTGGGTTGCTGAGCTGGCAACTTTAACCACATTCATAGCCATGTGGTTTACGCTCCGCACGGATAAGTTTCCGGCCTTTGGGATCGTTGCAACAACACCTCCACTCACCAACAGCACTACTGAAACTTTACTAAATTGACAGTCAAAGCATGTGCCGCCAATGCTGAGCAAGACACCAACATTCTATCCAGCAACAGAACGTATTACACGTCAACCCTTTTCACACGTCTGATCTCTTTCACCCAAAAACAAAGGGCTACAACACAGACAGCTGGGAGATAGTAATAGGATAGAACGATTGAGCTGACGATGACAAATGAAGACTCCAAGAGCGTCGGTCAAGTGAGAACTAGCTCAACTGTTCAATAACCAAGCCGACGCTGATACCAGGTGGCTAAGAAAATTCTTTTCCACCATCATCATTCTTCTGACGCTTACAAATTATTTGAATGCCATTGCTCTTGGAACTGCTTCATGGACTGGTTTTTGTTCTTGCTTCCACCGTTCTTTATGCCATTGCCATTGATCGTCGACGCCCACCATTTGCGCCTCGCCCATCGTGGCTTCTACGACCACTTGTAGTCTAAAACACTTACTTCACTTCAAGCTTCCGGGACAATTCGCACTTGCGCCGAGATATCTTCGTCGCGTTTAACAATTGCACCTCGTTGTGAGTCTTAATGATACGAATCATCGCATAAGATTCGGCTGACAATCTCCTAACAGCAACAAGATAAGTACACAATTCATCAAGCTTGGCAATGTGTTCCATGAGTTTCTCGCTATCGCCCATCAAAAACTCATGGAGTTGCGCAGCTGCACAGAGAATGTTTTTTATCGGAGTAAGCACAAAGGTTCCCCATCCTTTAACCGCCAAAGTTGAGTTACGCACCCTCGTTAGGGTAGTTTGAGCTTGCGCTCATATCCTATCAAACTTATTAACGCACTTAATTGAGTCACTTGAATTAAACAAAGAGTTTGTATGGCGACTTCCTTAGCAGAAAAGTCCCATAGTGAACCAGAACCTCATCCTGTCATGCAAAGAAGTCGAGTTTCTCGTTCTCAGCCTCAACAAAAGCAATTTGCCTTCCAGCACAGGATTCTGGAAGCAGCTTCTAATCTGAGTTTGCTTATGTTGCTGTCTGACTTCATCCTTTTAGGACTCGACCAACATTTTGAAGTGTCAAGTTGACAAGTGCTGACATCACCATAAGAAACTTCAACCGATTCCTACTTTTAACAGGATTAAGCAACGAGTCGGAGAAGTGAATTACAGTCATTATATCATTCACTCGGATCTATGCCAAAAGATTACAATATAAATTGAATAGATTTGCAAGCAGCAATAACTACAAATTAAATATTATAAGCAATAAAATTGCTTATAATATTTCTAGGTTTTGTGGATTTGTTTGTGCCATGCAACTTTGTGCCGCTTTTGTCAATACGGTGAGAAAACTTTGTTAAGTTTTCGATAAGACCGAGTATCCGGTTCGATGAAGAAACTACGGCATGGTCTGTGGAAATTGCATGATCTAATTGTAATGGGCCAGGTCCCATTACACATGCTGTATGGACCACATACTGTATGTGTCGAACATTATCTGTACGCCCTGTATAGTTGTATATCCCCTTACAATTATTGTGTATCAGAACTGGAAGTACTTCTCAGGATGGAGAGGTTGAAAGCATATTGGTTATACTAACGGATTTTTACGAATAGTGATCGGTCTTTTATTAATTAGTAGCCTCAACAAATCGATCACTTTTGACAGGAGGTCTAA